GAACCATTATTCGTGTTGCTCCCACCCTATAAGTAGTGTAACTCTGTCTTGCACATATAGCCTTCCTCCGACTCTGTTAGATGCTGCATCTCTGTCCTCTTGTCTTCTCCACACAGAGCATTGACTGGGCCCCAGTGTGTGCGGCCATCTCCAACTCAGGCCAGACTGGGTGTGATTCGCAGAAGGCCAAGTGCCTCTATGGCCAGCAGGTGGTGCTGTTGGGAAGAGAAGAGAAAACGGGTCCCCAGTGGCTTCTAAACGAGGAAGGACTGGTTATGAGACTGGCTGGGGAACCAGGTGATGAGGGAGGTTGAGTTGAGAAGGCCCTGCCAGCTGGCCACCTCTTTTCTTTCAACCATTTTCAGATGTGAGGCAGGTGTCCATGGAAGAGAAGAGCAGGAGTGGACAAGTCCAGATCTGCTGTCCATGGGGTTATTGACAGGAGCAGGAATGGTGGTGGTGGCCCCCATGATACCACTTCTCCTGGTCAAGACCTGCCAGTTCATGCTTAAACAGGCCAAGGCTGGGAACCTGCTCATTGATCTAGTATTTGATCACCCCTCACCAGTCCCTGCTGCCCCCACCCCTGCTCATGGAGAATGTGGCTATGGAGGGGGCAGGCAGTGGGAACTAGGCCTCCTGGGTTTACAGTTTTCCAGAAAAATCCCTTGGGCTATAAGTTTCTCTAGCGTGGAGGGCCTCGTCTACTTTCTCTCTGTGCTCCCCTACCTGGAAGAAGGCATCATGTCTTATACACACAGGTACTCAGGGCAACCAACCATCCCAGTTTGTCGGGGACTGAGGGAGTTCCCAGGATTCAGAACTTTCGATGCTAAAATTGGGACAATTCCAGGCAAATCAAGATGAACTGGTTACCCTATCAATGAAAGGGATTGTCTAGGTGGTCTGGATGCCAGCACCCTCCTTTGTCTCTGCTCGGGGGGCATGCTGGTGGCCGGCCGTGAGGGTGTCTCAGACCTCAGTGTGATGGGCCCTGTGAAGTCCAGCAAGAACACAGCCAGCCCCAGGAGCTGTCATCTGGGCTCTTATGCCAACAGGAGACATGTGTCATTCACACGCAGGCAGCTGGTAGAGGACTGCAGACCCCCGGGGCCACTGCAGCGCAGAGCCCAAGCTGCAGTACTTAGGAGCTAGGCTGAAACCGCAGAGGGCTTTCCGGAGGTCAGGTTGAAACCCCTGGTTTGGCTGAGGCAAACAGGGGAGAGCCCTGCGTGGGAGAGAGGAAGGTGCAGGCAGAAAGGAATCTGCGATGGGTTGTCAGGCGGAAGAACAGGCGGATCACTTTGGTGCAGAAGAGAAAGAGTGTCTGGATGGTAAAGAAAAGAGTTGTAAAAGGGAGCAAACACACTAAACCCAGCTGGGAAGAACGAGATTGGAAAGCAGTGAGGAATCACTGTAGGGTGCTACTCAGGGCTGAAGCATTTGTGGGTCCAAAAACATTAAGAAAACCCTAAGTCTGGGCGAGCCACTTCCCATCACTTACCTGTCTTCCTCCTTTCCTTTAGTTTCAAGCCATGGTCACACATTCTGCTGGTCCCCAGAAGTCTGGGCCCCTTGAAGAGCCTCCCAGGAGTGTTCTGGAAGCCAGGGAAACTTCCTGTCTCCTGAGCTTGTGGTCAGGTCTTCTGAATCTCCCTTCGTGGGAGGCTCCCTGCCCCTGCGTCCCATTTCCACATATAAGTTAGAGTTAGAGGAGTCACAGTATTTGATGGATTGGGAGGAGCTGGTTGTCACCCACTGGCTTGCAAACCTCTAGTTCATGGGACACAGCGCATCCAAAGGCAGCTCCTGTCGCCGTCCAGTAGATCTCATTATAAGAAAATTCTTAAACTGAGCCCAATTTCATGATTTCTGCCCATGGGTCCTAACTTTGTTCTTTGGCACTGCACAAAAATCTCACTCCTCCCTCATAAAAGCACTTAAAATATTTGAGTTCAGCTGTCCCACTCCCTCGGGTATTTTCTTTTGTAGACTAAATATTTTTCAACACTTCCTGATGTGAAAGTCGTTCAGGCCACTGCTCTGCTTGCCTGCCTCCTGGCGCTGTCACAGGTTTCCAGAGCCTGACTTGGAATAGCAGTTTCTCCATGAATATCTTGAATGACTGAGTGAATCCGCAGCTCCTCCTATGAATTCCTGTCAGTTTGTATTTTTTCCTCTTGGCATGTGGGGCCCACAGATCCACTATTGTCTCATGTTGAGTTAACTGTTAACTAGAAACCCTAACATCTCCTTAGTAAGACCCCTCCCTACTTCCTGAGAGGCTCAACACAGAAGCAGCAGCTGGGGAAGTCTGAATGCTGTGTCCTAGCTGTCCCTGTGGCCTCTGTGGCCGTGGACCTGGTCTGTGTCTTTAGAGACCAGGCTGCAGCAGCAGTGGTCCAGGCAGTGGCTGGGGCAGACCTCTGTGAGCACGAGGAGGTGTGGAGGTCCCTATGACAGAACTAGATGAAAGCCTGCTGGCTGCTTGGCGTCTGCTCACCTATCTGCAATCTGCAGACTTGTCCCCTTCCTAACCTTAGAGGCCGACCCCGTAATCAGCAGATTTCTCCTCTCTCTGATAAGTCTGGACTCTCCCTGTTCATTAGCCCCGTGCTCCCTCTTAATGCCTGGGTGTCTGATCTTGGACTCCAATCTGTGCATGCCTTTGATGCTGGAGAACAAAGAGGTTTCTTGGATTTGAGCCAAGCTGGAAAAGTGTTTTTGAACAGAAGCTTCACTGATAGGAAGGCCTCTCTGGTGCATCTCCAAAGAATGGAGCTCTGGGAGCTGCTAGCCCTAGGGGACAGCTGGCTTATTCCAAAGTTGGAAAATGGATGAGAAAACCTATTTCAACTAGGCAAGGAGGCAAGAGAACTGTGATTCAGGCATCTGGAGATGTTCAGGGACTTGAGACACCCAGGAGACTTTCAGAAAGGTACCCTTGGTGCATGTGGCCTGCAGAAGAGACAACTCGTAGCTCTGCACAGGGATACTGACTGCCTGCTTCACCACTGTCTCTCCAGCACCTGGCACAGTGACTGACACCTGGTAGGTGATCAGCGAGCATGTTTTAGGTGGATAAATAAATGAATGAATGAGAAGACAGTTTTTGGAAATCTTTTCTGTATGCCATAGCACTTTCATTACAAAAGTAAGAGCTCCATTCTGGAGTCAGAGGGACTTGGGTGAGCATCCTGACTTCACCACTTACCGGCTTTATGACAAGTTCCTAAGCAATGGGCAGCATAGGAACTCCCCAAGGTTGCTGTTAGAATCTCCATAGAGAATGTGCATGGAATTCAGGGCCTGGTCCATGTCACCCACAGACTCAGTGACCCTCAGTTTAGCCAAACAACTGAGACATAGAGCTCCACACGCCCTACAGGGACGGGCTGTCCTGGCCCTCCACCTCCTCCTCACGAGGCTTGAGGAGGGAGGGGGACCGGTAGAATGGGTAAGAAGCTACATCCCCCCCAGGAAGCTGGTCCTTGGCATAGCTTCCTTTGGGCTCAGGTTGGAGCTCGGGCCACTGCCGAGGGAGCAGCCTGTGACTATCTCATGTCAGTACAGTGCCCTCTCAACCCGTTCACAAACCCCAGTGGCCGCTGCCTGTGTTTCCTCCATGGGTAGGGAACAGCAGACCGGTTACCCAGGCCCCAGGCCTACCTGAAACCTGGCCAGATGGCAGGGCAGACAGTTTTGGTTCTCGAGTCTACATTCATCTCAGAGGCATGCTTCGCTCTCTCCTTTGACACAGATGCTAAGTTTGTAGGTGTCATGAATTAACTTGGGATCCCTCTTCCACACATCTCCCCTCCTTTCCATTTCAGCCCTTTCCTTTGGAAAGCAAGGATCAGAGAGGAAAGATGCTGTAGCAGAAGGAACCTTGACCTGAGGTTTTGAGTGTGGGCAGGTCCTAGCCCCTTCCTGGATTTTCTCATGTGTGAAGTGTACAAGTGGGTAAACCTAGGATATGTTGTGGGTAGGGTGGTCTCGGTGGCCTTCAGGAGGTCTCTTCTGGAATTGCTGTTTTATGCACCGGTGAGGTCTGTATTTTATTCCTGTTTCAGATTACTCCCCTCCCCCGCCAAAGGAGGAGACAGTTATCACAAGGACAGTGAGGGGTTTGATGGTGGAGAAAAGAGAACACATGTCAAGTCAAATATCAGCCTTAGGATCAGCTTTATTATGTATTTTACCTTCACCAGGGAGAGGAAGGCAAGGAAGCTGGAGAACAGACCAGCCTGCATCACACAGACACAAATCACATCTCTAAAGAGTGTACATGGTGAGAACTAAGGGCTCACATTAGACCAGCTGTGAAGCACAGAGATTGACAAGGGCACCAAACATCCATCTCATCTTTCCCTTCTGGTTGTTTTGATTCAGTTATTTACATACTTTTGGCTCATTTTAAAAAAGCACAACCAACATTTCAATGTTCAATAATTTCCTGTTTTTTTTAATGTACAGGGACAAAATCATCCAATTTTTGATTTTTGAAACACCGCAAGTCACTTTGTCTCAACACCTGTGGTGGCGGTGGTGGTGGTGGTGGTGGTGGTGGTGGTGGCGGCGGCGATGGTGGTGGTGGTGGTGGTGATAAGTGGAAAGTCCATCAGAATTCAGTTGTTTTGTGGCTCATTTGATAGCCTGAAACTCTGAAAGATGAATGAAGGCATCCTTGGCTGTTACACCCCCAGAGCTGGGTGAATTTTTGCACCAAGGAAGCTGTGCTAGGCTTCTGTGGTCTTCCCTGACAGTCACAGCGTTCCTGCATTTGAGACCTTCATCAGACTGCTGAGAACAATGCTTATTCACAGAGGATGATGAAATATAGAAAGACACAGACCAAGTCCTGGAATGCTAAGGAAGCCAGGAGGCAAGAAGGTACATTGCACACAGAGGTACCCACAGAAGAAGGTCACCAGAGCAAGGGCTGGGGTCAGGGTTTCATCTGCTGCCCATCTTCTTGACCCCAGAAGACATATGAGCAGCTACTTCCCCTTGCCAGGGGATGAGCACTTCTCCTGGACTTTCTGTGGGCAAACCTCCACACATTTTGTCTGGAATAGCTCCTGGCATGGCTCTGCACACTGAGGTGGACATTGATCTTGGCATGGAGGTAGGCATGGATCTTGGCCTTGCTGTGGGCATTTTTCTTGACTTAATTCCTGGCACTGAGAAAGACATACCTCCTGGGCCTGCACTAGACACTTATCTTGGCAGGGGTGCTGGCACGTGGGGAGGCACACCTCCTCAGCCTTTCCCTGGCACTGCTCCTGGGTCTTTTGGAGGCATGGAGGGGGCACACATGGCTGCTTGCACTGCTGCTCACTGAAGGACATCCTAGGGTGATTTGCAGAGCCTGAAAAAAAAAACACAATATTCGAAATTATCTGTGTTAAAAATATCAGTGTGGGAACTGGGGAATAAAGGGTTGAGAAAGAGGAATGAGGAGTGGATGGAAGAACTAATGGAGTGGAATGAGGAGTGGAAGTAAGAACTAATTTCTTTGGCTGCTTTTTATCTCTTTCTCTTTTCTATCCTGGCTGCAGCTCCCTGTGGCACCTGTCTCTAAGGTGGGAGTACTCTCATGGCCGCTGTCTAGACATCCATAGCTCCAAACCCCAAGTCCTACCGCAGGTTTTTTTTCCTTCTCTTCTAGTCTACGAATCCTTTCGAAAATCAGGTGCAAGAGACTAGATAGATAAATTCTAGTCTGGATAGACTATACAGGATAGTTTGTGAGGCCCAAGAAATGGCAAACCACTTAAAAAATCAGTAGAAAGTACAGTCCAGAGGAGGAACAGAACAGTGGCCGCCTAAAGACAGAGTAACAGGAAGAGAGAGGGCACAGATGCCCCACTTACCTGATCTTCAACAAGACTCAGCAAAAGCTGTGGACTGTGAAGCCCGGCAAGGTGGGACTTTTATATGGTGCTTAGTCCAGCCTCCTGCGGGACTGACTGGCCACATGGGCTGCGGTACTAATTGTGGAGTCACCATAACAAGCTTCCTCTGAAATCGCCGATGGTTTGAGTCACTGCTTGGGATGCCTGTTAATCAGACTACATTTTGGCCTGTGGGTCCTCATCAGACCTCAGCAGGGAGGGCCTTCCCTCAGATCTCTCTCATCAAAGGCAGCAGGAAAAGAATGTTCATAAAGTGTTATCTCAGTCTGTTCAACCAGGATTCCTTGTCTGCCCAAACTGGTACAGGATGTGGTGAGAGATAAGATCCACCTTGCTCATCTCATCTTCACCAATGGGAAGACATTATGCCTAAGGCCTGGGGCCTCTCTGGGTCAAGGGCTTACATGGCTTGTTGCAGACACTTCTTCATCAAGCCTAGAAAGTCACCCTTCAGATGCAAAGACGAAGGCTTGCCCTGTGGTTCCAAGCAAACAAAAGGCTTTCAGCCTGCTGAAGAGAGTGATTTTCCTGCATGGTGGTCTTGATGGAAATTGGGATTCATTTGTTACTCTTGGGTTGTGAAGTGGAGTGAAGGGGAAAAGAGAGGAAGGAGAAGGCAGACAATCTTCATCTTCTCAACCTGGATTTATGACACCCTTCTGAAAGTGGAATTACTCACAGAATTTTCATAGTGACCAGGAGAACAGGCTGGAACAAAGTTAACTTGTCTCTTTGCCTACTGGAAAACGTTTTCTTAGAACTCAGGTCAATAAAAGTCAGGGGATGAAAGGAAAAGTTTCAAAGCAAACACACCCAGTTTTCTCTACCTCTACTTTCTAGTTTGGGCTGTTAGTTTTTACCTGATGTGTTCTCCCTGTGCCTGTGGAAATCCTAAGCATTCTGCAAAGCTTTACTCATGTCTACCACCCTCTGACAGCCTTTCCTGATTACTCTAAACCAGAAATGAATCCACCTCTCTATGAATTCCCATGGTATCTATTGTTTGTATTATTCATATAACATTTACTATTGAAATTAGGATTTTCCAGATATTTATATATAGATCTTATTTTTTCCTGGGTTATAAGTTCCTAGAGGATAGGTACTATGCCATAGGTATAGTAAGTGGAAGATGATGGAAGACAAATGATTATTGATGGGGTAAATGTATTAATGAAGGAATGAAGAAGGTGGATGTGGGAGAGCTGGGAGTAGAGGAAAATCTCATTTAATTGAAAATGGGAAAAGATTTACTTTGAAAGAAGCTCCTAGTTCCATAAAGTGGTGGTTCTGTGTTTGTTTGCTGAAGTTCATATTTATGAAGTTGTATTTTAAATATGATGATGTTCCCTTCCTTTCTCCTTAATTTGAAGTTATGTTCAATCTCTTAACTTGAAGTGGTAGGTTTAAGTCATTTCCTAAGAAAAATATTTGGCTAAAATCAGAAATGTCTCAACTGTTTATATAGATTTTGGATGCTTGATACTTGAAAAGTTTTTAAAAGGTAAGCTGGGGAGACCAGGAGGCATTTTTGACCTTTGAGACTGGTTCTCAGAGGTTAATGTGACATCACCAAGAGCCCCATTGGTGTCCTGGCAGGAGAGAGAGGCCTGGGTGTGGAAGGACTTGGAATACCCAGCTGTATATCTGAAGAGACAAAGTCATTTGGGGCATCTGGGAGAGCAGGTGTAAGGTGGGAAGACTCATCCTTCTTTTTCTCCTCTTTTTTCACCTCCTCCTTTCAATCTTCTTCTTTGCATTTTTCATCTTTTCTTAGAATGCCATTGAAGAGACAAAGCAACTCTCCTGTGTCCTAGAAAACAAGGAATTTTCCATCACTGAGTTTAATAATATGTTCTTTCAGTCACTCATGGCCCCTATGTGATGTCAATGCCTTTCCCTTCCAAAATGACTCACAGTTTCATGGAGAATATGGCCAGAGGTAAGCTGCTATGCTCCAGAGGAAGGCCCCTTCCTTGGTTTTGGGTGGAAGGTTGTGGAAGGCTCATGGGGGAGGAGGTGTCTGTGCTTTGTCTTATTGGACAGTAGGAATTACCCAGGCTAGGAGGGTGGACAAGGGCATTCTAGGTGGCCTCTAGGAAGGAATCCTTGTTGGGAGGCTGTTGAAGTACAGAGATACAAGGGAGATGAAAGGAGAGGTGGAGGCCAACTTAGGAAAGGAATGAGCAAGAGACTGGGAAGACAGCCTCTTAGCTGGGATTTCTGGAAGTTTCCTGTGACAGGATGCATGAGATGACCTTGCTCATGTCATGTACATGTCTGTCACTTTGGTTAAGCCCAAGGACAAGGAGACTAAATAGAAATGTGCAGAACAAGAGACTACAGCATGTTCTCATGGAGGGGAGGTGAGCCCAGTTAGGTAGAGCCCAGAGTTTGACTCCTCTCACTGGATGCCCTGCCTGCCATCGAGTTGATTCATGACAGTGGAACAATCTTGAAATTGACCCAAAAGTCCTTCTGTTGTAGGCAGAATAATGGCCTCCTAAATATGTTCGCCACCTAATTGCTAGAATTTAGGTTACTTGGCAAGAGAGACTGAAAGTAGTGAATAAAATCAAACTTGCTATTCAGACGACTTTAAAATAGGGAGATTATCCTTGATTATCCAGGTGTGGCCAACATAAGCATAAGGCTCTTAAAAGCAAGAAGAGTCTGTCAGAGTGATGTGATTTGGGAAAGGCTTAACTGGCCATTGCTGATTTTGAATATGGAAGGAGTCCACGAGCCAGAAATGAGGGCGGCCTCTACCGTCTGGAAACAGATTCTCCAGTAGGACCTCTGGGAAGAGGTGCAGCTTCGCGGGCACTCTGATTTCAGTCCGGAGAGACTTTGTCAGCCTCTGAGCTCCATAACTGTCATAGTGTTCACTTTTGTTGTTTGAAGCCACTAAACTTGTGGAAACTTGTCACAGAAGCAGTAGAAACCTAATAACCTTCCCAATGCTGGAGGCTCTTGGGAGCTCTTGAAGAAGGAAGCCTCAGATGAAGAATAAAATCTCATTTGCCATTCCTTCATTTAAATATATTCCTACTTGTCATGTCAGCATCCTCAATCAAAGGCTAGCTTTTGATAAAGAGGCACTGAGCTGGGTGCAGTGGTTCACGCGGATAATCCCAGCACTTTGGGAGGCTGAGGCGAGTGGGTCACTTGAGGTCAGGAATTTGAGACCAGCCTGGCCAACATGGTGAAATTCCATCTGTACTAAAAATACAAAATTAGCCGGGCATGGTGGCGGGCACCTATAATGAGGTGCCTATAATCCCAGCTAATGGGGAGGCTGAGGCAGGAGAATTGCTTGAACCCAGGAGGTGGAGGTTGCAGGGAGCTGAGATTGTGTCATTGCACTCCAGCCTGGGCAAAAAGAGTGAGACTCTATCTCAAAAAACAAAACAAAACAACAACAACAAAAGAGCCACTGAGATATATGGAGAAAGAACTCAGGATCCCATTCATCTGGGGTTGACTATCACATAGAGTATATGCAATATTGGATAAGTGATTTAACCTCTCATAATCTCAATTTCCTCTTGTTGAGAAAGGAAAATACTATTTCACAGATTTCTTGTGAGGAATAAATTAGAGAATGTATGCTCCAAAACTTAGGGCCATCAAGCTACTTATGAATATTAGTGCAATCTGAATCAGTTCAGGACTCACCTCCTCCATGAAGCCTTCCTTGATTCCCCTGGTTCTTCTTGTTCTATGTCCTTTGCTCTGTCCCTCCAATACTTGATTTTTGACTTGAAATTTTTTTTTTTTTTTTTTTTTTTTTTTTTTTTGAGATGGAGTCTTGGTCTCTCGGCCAGGCTGGTGTGCAGTGGCACGTGATCTCAGGGCACTGCAACCTCGGCCTCCCAGGTTTAAGCGATTCTCCTGCCTTAGCCTCCCAAGTAGCTGGGACTACAGGCACATGCCAGCACACCCAGGTAATTTTTGTGTTTTTAGTGGAGATGGCGTTTCACCATGTTGTTCAGGCTGGTGTCGATCTCTTGACCTCATGATTCACCCCCTCAGCCTCCCAAAGTGCTGGGATTAGAGGCGTGAGACACCACACAGTTTTCTTTAATACAGGTTCAAATTCTGCTATGCATTTCTCTCTCCACATGTGTGTCATAGAACATCTAATACATGCCCAAAGCCAAACTGCTGATCTTGCCTCAAAAACTCCTCCTACCACAGTCTTCCTCAGCTCTGTAAGTGGCCTGGCCTCATCGTCTTTAAAATAGGAAAGTTAGACTTTCAGTCCATCCCATCTCTGGCATTCTGTGATACTATATATGTGATCATGAATGATCAGCTTGGGTAACTATGTAACTTTGTAGTGTGTGGACACATGTGTGTGGGCACTTTTTCCTTGGTCAGGTGGTAATATACCCACAGGAAGACCCAGTCTTCTGTCTTCTGCATGTGGCAGTGGCTCA